GTAAGTCTGCCACTAAAAACTGAACATATGGCAATTTTTGGCTCAACTTTGTCCCCTGCCTGTTGTCCTTGTGCTTGCTCTCGTAATATTAATTCTTCCTTTATTGCGTCTGCACATTGTATTGTCTACTTCAAATGGAGCAACAGGCTCCACAATTTCTTCATTTTGTTCTTTTGTGTGACGTGTACAAGGCCAGTTTTGTTGCCTTATTGCTCATTGAGAAGTTGCAGGTGAGCTTCTGCCTTGGACTGCTGCAGTCTCACTTACTGCAGGGACATGAACAGCGCTGTTAGGAAGGCAGCATGAGGAATTTAACCTAATGACGGTAAGGGAAGACTTTAAATATTGTCTGAATCAGGAGAATGCGTGACACCTCCAACCCAAATTTTATAATGTTCATACAAAGTGTTTGTACCCATATTCAATCAATAACAAATCAACCTTGGATCATTTCATGAGCCCAAGAAATTTATGACCCTTCTGATATTATCCTCTTAATTTTTTCAAAAGGTTATTTTTAAGATTATAAAGTTTCCATTGTTAAATGGTCAAATTTCTACTATGGCTTGTGTTTATTACAGCTTCCCACCTTATTCTGCTGAGCTCTTATGGCCCAATTGTCTGAAGCTGGGAAGTGCTAGGAATTCTGGAATGTGTCCAAAGTAAATTGACTTTGCTTCATGTGCCAGTCATTTCTAACTCCTCCACACACAAGAAAAAGTATTTCTGGTTAATGGAAGCTTGGAGCGAAAAGTGGGCTGTTCTTGGAGCAATGCCTGCCCTGACTACATGGCCCTGAAATTGGATTTTGTGTCATACATCAATAATATGTGCCAGCTGTAAGTGCGTTCCAAAGCAGCCAAACCATGCTGACAGATAATGTTATGCTCTTGCCAGGCTGTAATGACCCTCAAGAGTGCTCCTACGTATTCCAAGAGTTGGGGGCCTAAATTTGGCATCAGTCCCCTCGTTGTTATACGCAGGCTCCTAACTTCTCTTTTAGGTGGTCATTCCAGATGTCAGGCAAATGGTCCCACCAAATATTGGTGTCCATAGGCCACATGAATTTGATCTCTGAAGATTCAGTGCTTCTATGGGTTATTTACAATATATCCACCCACAGACTGAATGGGATTTTAGCTTCTTAAAGCATAGTCCACTTCAATAAAAGGCCCCCAGCTGCCTATTGAATTGAGCTTTTAAATTGCTGAGTTTAAATTATGAGATTGGTACTTGCTATGCATGTGAACATAACAGCTGGACTTCAAAGGCACAGTCGCTACCACCTCTGCTAACTCCACAGATAGCTCCCTGCATCATACAAATGGCCGTAGCCATTTCCCATTACACTAAGTATGATTGCGTCTTTATATTGAGCTCCCCTACTCCAACACTGATCTCGATCTTGGACATTTCTTGGTCACAGCATGCACAGCATATCATAGGCAAATGCCGTTGACACTAGCATGATTTTTTTATGAAAGGACCTATCACTTTATTGGCTATGAAATCCTTGGGACTTTCAAGAATGTGAAAGGAAGTTCTCCCTTACTTGGTATACAACCTTAAGTCACTTGAAAATGACCTTATTCTTATCACTGATTTTTGTTTTGCTTCAAGGTTATCTGACTAAACTTTATTCTTGTGTTCATTCACATTTAAAGCTTACAAATCCAAAATGTTGCAGATGTTTGAAGACATGGAAACTGATGTTACAATTGAAATCAACTAGTATTTTTGGTTGAATATATTTTCAAACTGTTTCTGAGTGTTGGAGTTGAGCGATTACAAAATGCTGGGATTCTGTAATTCTATAACACAGCAGCAGCTACTCATTCTGGCTTTCAGCAGAGTACTCTGGTATTTAATATATTTTTTATCAATTTCAGGAGGGACTGCGGACTTTATGTGTGGCTTACAAAGTCCTCACCAGTGAAGAATATGATAATGTTCACACACTCCTTCAGAATGCAAAACTAGCCCTCCAGGAACGTGACAGGAAGCTTGCTGAAGTTTATGATCTGATTGAAAACGACCTTGATTTACTTGGAGCAACAGCTGTGGAAGACAGGTTGAGTATTTTGTTTTCAAAACTTGCCCCCATTGACTGAATTAATCTGGGTAATACTTTTACACATCGGATCTAACTAATAGTAGATGGTGCTAATTTAGTTTCATATCATAACCAGACTTGGTATTTAAACATGCAAATTGAAGAAGCAAAAATGACGGATTTAGAAAAGACCAGCAGGTCAGCTAAGCCTCCCCTCCATCACATTATCTGGAGAATCAAAACTAAGCAGTACTTTTCCCTACGCTCAGTACATTCTATCCATTGTTCATAAGAGCAGAAGTAGACTACGTGGTCAGTTAAGCCTGTTCCACTATTCACTATGATCTGGCTGATCTTCGGCCTCAATTCCAATATCCCAGCTGCTCCTCATATCCCTTCATTCCCTACAACACTAAAGAGCTGGCTATCCCAGCCTTAAATGTTTTGAAATATGGTCCATCCTTAAGTCTGTTTAGCGCAGAGAATTTTAAAGATTCCAGAAGGGCACAATGGATTGAATAGTCTTCTGTGCTAAAACGATTTCTATGATTCACCATCTTTTGAGTGAACTAATTTCTCCGCTTCTCAGACCTTAATGATTGGCCCCTTATCATTTGATTGTGTTTGAGCAGTGAACACAGAAAACAATTCCCCAGTGTCTTATATGTAACACAGTGTTACAAATTTTCTGAAGAAGGGTCCTGATCTGAAATGTCAGCTTTCCTGCTCCTCTGATGCTGCCTGGCCTGCTGTGTTCCTCCAGCTCCACACTGTCTTATCTCAGACTCCAGAATTGGCAGTTCTTACTATTCCTCAGTGTCTTTATTATGGTTTTTCAGAATCTTGTTTTTGTTTTTAATTAAGATCACCCTTTGTTCTTCTATACCCAGGAAATATAGGGTCCAGTTTACTCAGCCTGTCATCGTAGGATAACCCCTTGATCCCAAGGACCAGTTTAATGTACATTTGTTGTAATGTGGCATATCCGTGTGTAAATATGGAGACCAAATTGCACACAGTACTCCAGCTGTAGTCTCAACCCCCTGCAATGCTAGCAAGATTTACTTATTCCTGTACTCCAGTCACCGAGGCAATATAGGGCAACATATTATTTGCTTTCTGAACTGTTTTTTGCACCTGAATGCTGACTTTCTGCATATCCAAGACTATCTTAACATCAACATTAACAAGCTTCATACGTTTTAAAAAGTTTTCACATTTCCTATTCCTATAATCAAACCAAATGCTTTCACACTTTGTCATGTTATACTCCATCTGCCATCCTGTTGCCCTCACACTTAAATTGTCTTTAGCTCTTTGTTGCCTTTCTGTGTTATCTCTACAGATTGCCTTCTCACCTACCTTTTTTATCTTCAGTATCTTTGTATTTTCAGTAAACATCGATGTATTACTCTCTAGCTTTTCATTTAAGTCATTAATACAGGTTGTAAATGGCTGAGGCCTTACAAATGATTCTTGCAGCCCTGCACTAATCACAACCCGATTACTTTAAAATGTCCTGTACTGGCCATAATAAGACACTGGGGGATTGTTTTCAATGTTCACTGCTCAAATTATTTATCCCAGTTAATATATTGCTTTCAATTCCATGAGTCCTTTTGTAGCTTATTAATCTTTTGTGTGACACCTTATCAAATTCCTTTTGAAAATCCAGATACAATTACCCACCTTAGTGGTTACATTCTCAAAATCTAATAAAAATGTCAAATAGGAATTTCCTTTTATAAAATCATACTGTACTTTTCTAAGTAAAAATCAATTCCAGCATTTTCTAAATGAATAATATTAGGGTAACTGACCTCTAGTTTGCTGTTTCTGTCACTCCGTCCCTCATTGAAAAGTGGTGTTACATTTGCCAATTTGCAAACTAATGATGACCATTGCCAAAAATAAGGAAGTTTGGAAAATCAAAGCTCGTGCATGTACTATCTCTGTAGAAATTTCTGTTTCAGACCTGAGCATGTACTCTATCAGGTCCCAGGGATTTTAGTCCCTCAATTCTCTCGTTCAAAAATGGCAGCCATATATCAATATGTCACCATTGACTGCAAGGTTATATTCACTGGCCAATGTATGTGTTGGGTTTCCAAAGGCTATGGGCTTGGTCTTATCTGCAGTCTCGTGAATAGTGTTCAAGCCATTTGCCCACTGTGGCTTGACCCTAAAGTAGGGTACGTAAAACAGTCCTACGAGATAATGACTAGCCTAATCAGATCAATGCTCACTGCAAATCACACATACTCAGGTCTGGATGCAATGTTTTATGATCACTATTTCCCAGTGGATCTTTCACAGTGACATGAGTATTTAATCCTCCCTAATTACTCCATTCCTAATCTCCACATACTGATTGTACTTAAATGATCTTCTGATGCCAGTTTCTTTCTCACTAGTATACTTATCACAACCTTTACTAACAGAGCTCCCTGTCCTCCTTTGTCATTCTCTTTTTCCAGCATATTATGTACCATGGAATATTAATTTCTCAAGTTGATGGTAATTTGATATAAATCATTTATCCCTGTTCTTGTCTTTGATTCAGTCCATTGATGATTCTTCACACATTCAGATAAAAAACCTTTAATTTTATTTCTTTTTCTTCTATTGCTTGCAATGGATTTATTCCCCGTACAATTTACGTTACGCCCTCTGTCCCACTCTGCTGGCATTTACCCACATTATTTTAATGTTCTATTGCCTTGACCTTTCCTCTTGGATTTCTGAATCTACCTTCAATCAAGTTCTCCCCTTCTCTTTTATTTTAAAGTCCTTTCCACAGCCCTAGTTAAACAATTTGCCAGAATATTGATTTCTGCCTGGTTTGAATAAATGCAACTCCGCTCAAAAGAACTATTTCCTCATTCCTTGTACCAGTGCCAGTGCTGTAAGAATTGAAGCATTTTGTTCCAACACCACTCTTTGAGGCGCACATATAATTCATAGACTTCATAGAATCCCTACAGTGTGAAAACAGGCCCTTCGGCCCAACAAGTCCACACCCACCCTCAGAGCATCCCACCCAGACCCATCCCCCTGTAACCCACTGAATCTACACATTCCTGAACACTACAGGCAATTTAACATGGCCAATCCACCAAGCCTGCACATCTTTGGACAGTGAGAGGAGACCGGAGCATCCAGAAGAAACCCACGCAGAAACGGGGAGAATGTGCAAACTCCACACAGACAGCCACCCAAGGGTGGAATTGAACCCTGGTCCCTGCCGCTGTGAGGCAGCAGTGCTAACCACTGAGCCACCTTGCTGCCCTAATTCACTAGTTTGTTGATTTTATGCCAATTGGTGTGTGTTTCCTGATTGATTAGTGTTGATGCCTTGTGTTTTTATTTGGAGTGTAACTCGTCACACTCTCTTGCCAGAACATCATTCTTGTTTCTACCTATGCTGTTGGTACCCTCCAGAGACTAATTGGATCTCCTGCCAATTTCCACTCCAATTCATTTTCCAAATGCAAGGATATGTCTTTAATCTTGACACTGGGCCAGCAAAACAACCACTGGACCTCCCATTCACAGCTGATTTTATTTTCACCTATCATTACCATAATCCTGCAACTCCCCAACCCTTGAATGTCATCGTGCATCATGGTGCCATAGTTAGTCTGTTCATCCACCCTGCAGGTCTCGCCCATAAAGGTAACAAACTCTTTGAACCTATTGGACTAATTCAGGGGCTGAAGGTCTTCTGTCACTGCATTCTGGATCTCCATATCTGCCTGACTCACTCTCCTGTGTCCCAGATTGTTCATCAGCTCTAAATTTCTATCTAACCTAAGGCATGTGACAGCCTCCTGGAACAAAGCATCCAGGTAACCTTTCTCTGATACTTCGCAGTGTCTGCAGCTCAGCAACCCTGAATCAACATTGTGCAAACTGCAGACACTTACTGTTTATGGGTTTGTTGTACATTCCACAGATTCCCACATGTTGCAGTCATAGTCATTACCATCTTAACACATTAGGCTAACCATATTCATTTCGTTAATCTATGAGTTATTAATTTACACAGCTAAAGTAATACGAAAGTCCACCCTCCTAGTTCGAAGACCATGGAAGAAGAATCGCCACTATTGGAGGCTAGAAAAGCATAGAGAAAGTTCTCTATCTGCTGAAGTCCCAGAAGTACCAAATTCCTGATTTTGTGCTCTATTTACATTGCACTTTTTTTAGATTTAGATTTAATTGTCACACATACTTAAGTACAGAAGTACAGGAGTACAATGAAAGTGTATAATGTCACACACGGTGCCATCTTAGGTACGAAGGTATCTCGGTACAAAGAAATAAAAGAAACAAGTTTAAAAAGTTAAGCATTACCTTCATAGAATAAGTAGAAAAGTAAAGAAATAAGGTAATAATTAACATTAGAGTCCTTTTTGATATAAACTAGAAAAATCAAGGAATAAAGTTAAAAGTTCAACTGTTTTTGATGAGTCCTCCGCTTAGCTTTCTCTTCAGGAGACCTCAGCTGCCTCTTCTCTACGCTGATGCTGCAGATACCGGGGTGACCCCTTCACCACCCATTCTATCTGCATTGGGCCGTGATGCCATCATTGCTGCTGCTGCTGAAGCTGCCACCTCCCCAGTCTCCTGCTGCTGCTTCTGGAATATGCTTCGGCAGGACTCCTGCACTTGGATATAGTTTTCTATCTATACATCCCTTACTCTGTTTGATCCTGCCCTGACATGACACCGATCCCAGCAACAATGTCAACTCCTGAAAGAAGCAATTAAAATTGAAAAATGTTCAGGGTAATTAGTGGAAAAGAAAATATACTTTGTAAAATTCTCCTTCACTCCCTCAGGCAATCATAATTAGTTCGAGACCGTGTATTATCCATTAAGGCACTCAATGTTCTGCAAGAAGGGGCTAGTTTCAATTTTTGGTTATTATTTGCTTCAATTCCAACAAACAGAAATGTAGGCTAATGCTGAAACTATACTTTTGATTTTTCAAACGGTAATATATTGTGGAATGTGGTTGCTCTTCAGATTGCAAGACAAAGCTGCTGAGACTGTGGAAGCTTTACAGAAAGCTGGAATGAAGGTCTGGGTTCTTACAGGAGACAAGATGGAAACAGCTGCAGCCACGTGCTATGCCTGCAAACTTTTCAGAAGAAGTACACAGTTGTTTGAGCTGACGACTAAACGAATAGAAGAGCAGAGTTTACATGATGTGCTTTTTGATTTGAACAGGACAATTATCAGACAAAGTGGTAGTTTGCCAAGAGACACTTATTCAGGGTGGGCATCTCGGTTAATCTTTCAGTTCTTTACATTTGTGACTAAATGTTAAATGTTGCAATTGCGGAAAAAACAACTTGCAAGTTTGTGCTTCTCAGTTCTGTATTAAATGGGGCTTATTTCAGTCATTATAAGTTAAGGTATGGAATACCAGAGCAAAGAGGTAAGAAATTTGTACTAAATTTTAGTTAGGCCAAAATTAAAGACTTTTTAGTTGTACAATTTCGGTTCTCAAAATCAAAAAACTTTTGAGAGTGTCATACTCACTAGAAATCTGAAGCTCTTTTTATGAGGGGCAACTTGAGATTCTGGGACTATTTGCACAGAAACAGAGAAGGGTAAGAGGAGATTGAACAGTATTGATAAAGTGGTCAAGGGAAGATCATTTCTTCTGGTTGGAGAGTCATTGCAAAACAGGTTATTGATTTCCCTCTTGAATCACTACCCTGAATTTGTATGGCGAGTTGCTTGTGACATCAAAAGCATTGTGAAAATCTGTTCACATTCTTCTGCCCTCTGCTTGCCTTTGCAATCCATCAGTTCCAAACTATATATTAAGTGTAAAACACATTTTGTAACTCTGGCTGGATGTCTATGATTGATATGTGTATATCTCCATGTTCATTAATTTTTATCTTGACTATACATTGCTAAAAGTTTACTGACAATTGACTTTAGACTAAACTAGTCTTTGTTACCCAGTGTATCTTACTAACTCCGTCACCCAGACTATAACATTGGCTAATGCCCAATCTCAGAGTACAATTGCATATTTAATATGAATGGAACAATTGTGGCCCTGGATTTGCAGAAATTTTCTTTGATTCTTGTAACCTGGAAAGCATCTTAGGTTGTGCTTATTTTTCTTATTGTTAAACTAATTCTTTTTCCATTAATTGTCTTGTAGAGAATATGGAACATTTATTAAAGTGCATCGACATTCTCATTTCACGGATCACTTCTATGCAACTATTTACTGATTATCTCCACAAACAGCTTCAGATACCCGGTTGGATTTGCTATGTAGAGCTTACTTGGCTGTAACAGTGACAGCTCATTTTGTACCAACCCCAGTTTCTTAGTCCTTTAACCATATACCTTTATACAGTTCCTTCCCAGCACATCTCAGCCTTTTAAATTTTTGATTCTGCATTGTATCCTTCTGGTATGTTCTGTCCCCTAATTTCTCATCTATTTTTGTGGAGACATTTTTACATGATTCCCTCAAGTCAGCTATTAAAAGCTTTTAAAAAATATAAAAGGATATATTAAAAGCTTGGCTGAGAAGTGGATTTCAAGACGGTATTAAAGATGGAGTGCTGAAGGTTTAAAGAAGCATTTCCTAACGGGATTCTTTTGAGTAAATCTTAGCTGATTAAACTACATCATTATCTGGTCAGAGGGTGCATCAATTTTGGCCCTTAGTAATTTATATCTACTCTGTTTGGTATTAGATGAGTACAGTGTTCTCAAGAAGAGAATGACTTGAATGCATTGCACAAAGTGATGTTTGTTTTTTATTTAATAACTTCTCCTCAGAGACTGAAAAGGTAATCTGTGAGGCAGAAGATGTGGGGATGATTTTTAATGATGACTGTCTTCATAAAAGAGCAAGTCAATGCAGATATTGCAGCCGAGGAATGTATAAGATTGGAATGACAGTGAAGAAGGGAATGTTGAGGTTTTCCAAATAGTAAAACAAATTAAAAAATGACTTGTATATTATTTTCCAAGTAATATTGGGCTTTTGAAGTATACAAGGTGGGTCAGGCAAGTATGTCTCATTCCACAGTTTTACTGTTTTTGTTTTCTGGGCTGACAAATTTGAAAGTAGAAAAGTCACCAGGTTTCTTGAAATGTTTCCCAAAAAGAAAAAAAAAATGACCATAACTTGACTTTTTTTTTGAGGTTGTTCCAAGAATTAAAGAAGAAAGGCTGCAAGGCCCAACTTTTCGATTCATTTTAAATATGTACATTGTACTCTGGATTTCATTGCATTAATCAGCTGATCAAAAATTATTTCTGGCAACTATATTCTAAACCTATCCTTTATCATGTGTACCATCAGGTGAATCATTCTCAAGGTAATATATTCTCCCTGAAGTGATGTGTCCAAAGTTTTCTCACCACTCCAAATGAGGCCTGCTCAACACTTCAACTATATCCAAGATAAAAAGTACAATGTATTATGATGAAACATGGCATGCTTTGGACATTATGAGTTGCTTTTCTATCCCTTTCATGCTGTAGACTCCATTTATTGATCTGTGTAACTTGTTAAAAGCAAATGATTCTACATGTTATTCCTCACATTTGTTAGAAATTTTCTCTCTTTACAGTGACTATTTCTGAGCTTACTTTAATTCCTGTTCCTACTCACCAATTCAAGAATGTCTTTTATATCCTAAGTTTTACCCCTGTCTCCAAATTATATACTTATGATTATCACTGTGTTGGTCCAATCTCCCAATCGTAGTCCAGTTCAACATATTTTGTTCCTTTGCAAATTGTTTCGAATTGAAACATTTTTAAGATTGAATCTCAGAAAAATAGTGTGAATGGCAAGGCTGACATCTATTTTTGACCATTGTTTTCCTAAGAAGGTGGCAGTACGTTTTATAAAACACTGAAAATGGTTTTAACAGGATGCAAAGGTAGGAAAGAAAGCAAATGGGGAGGACACATGTGTCTACAAAGGGTTATGCTTATTTTAAGTAAAACTAGTTGTCTACAGTAGCAGAAAGATTAGAAAAGCAGAATATTCTTTACATGAAGAGAGACTGCAGAGGGATATGCGCATTGTTGTACATGCATAAGTTAATATGCAGGTGCAACAAGTAATTAAAAAGACATAGGGAATGTTGACCCTTGTTGCAATGGAGATTAATTATAAATATATGGAAATCTTGCTACAAAAGTACAGGGATTTGGTAACATCAAGTCTAACATATTGTGTACAGTTTTGCTATTTTGGCATAAAGAGGGATAAACTTGCATTGGATGTAGTTAAGAGAATGTTCACTAGGCTGATGCCTGGGATGAACAGGTTGTCTTATGAGAAAAAGTTGAATACGTTGGACCTACACTTGCTGGAGTTAAGGCAAGAGGTGATCTTATTGAAATGTATAAGATTCTGAGGGGGTTTGACAGGGTAGATGAGGATCAGATATTTCACATTGCGGAGAATCTAGAACAAGGGTGCACAGTTTCAAAATAAGAGTCTTCCATTTTAGACAAGATGAATAGTTTCTTCTGTCCAAGGATCTTTGAAATTCTCTTCTACTGGGAGCAGTACTTTGTCATGTGATATGTTGAATGCTAAGTTAGAATGATTTTTGATCGGAAAGGAAATCAAGGGTTATGGGCCCAAGCTGGAAAATAATGTTAAGGTACAATCAGAATAGCCAGAATCTTATTGATTAGCAGAGAAGTCTTGATGGGCCAAATAGCTTACTCCTCCTCCTATTGTTACTTTATACAACTGAGAAGCTTATGAGGCCACTTTGGAACCATATTGGTGTTGCGTGGAGTCATGTTTAGGCTGCACTGCGTAGGGATGATAGTTTCCCATTCAGTAAATCAGTTGCAGTTTTACAGCATTTCCAATAATTTCACAACCACTTTTATTGATGTCAGCTTTTTAGTTATTGATTTTTTTTTTCAAAACTGTCTGAAATTCTCAAACTTCCAAGGTGGGATTATTTGTCCAGTAACATAACCAGGTGACATGTGGAAAAATCTTTTATAGAGTGGTTAGGGACTGGAATAAATAGCCTGAGAGTATGATGGAGACAAATTCAATAACATTTCAAATGAAATTGGTATCTGAAAGGGAAAATTTTGCAGAGCTACAGTGAAAAGGTGAGGGAGTGACACTAGATGAATTTCTCTTGTAGAAGGTCATTACAGATATATGGGTGACACGGTGGTTAGCACTGCTGCCTCACTGTGCCAGGGGCCTGGGTTCGATTCCAGCCTTTGGTAACTGCGTGGAGTTTGCATGTGCTCACTGTGTCTACGTGGAATTCTATTCGTACTCCAGGTTCCACCCACAGTCTAAAAGATGTGAAGTTAGATGGATTGGCCATGGTAAATGTGCGGTTTTGGAGATAGGATGGGAGGAGGGTAGTCTGGATGGCATGCTGTTCGGAGGGTTGGCACAGACCCATTGGGCTGAATGTAGGGATTCTATTTCTGTGACAAGAGGTCAAATGGCCTCTTAGATTTGTAGCCATTCTGTGATTTTATTAACCATACCAAAATTGTAAGTGTTTGGGATAATTAAACTAGGATTGTTTCATTTCTTTGTTTAGATTTTCCCAGCATGATTTTCATGATTATGGTTTGATCATTGATGGGACCACACTCTCACTCATCATGAAACCTGCTGAAAATGGTTCTTCAAGTAATTACAAAGATCTGTTTCTGGAAATATGTCGCAACTGTAGTGGAGTCTTGTGCTGCAGAATGGCACCTTTACAGAAAGCGCAGGTTAGGCTTGAATACTTGTCTGTCTATTATAAATTTTAAGTCATTGCTGAATTACATTGACTGTTTCTTTGAAAACATACTTTAAGCTTACATTTTGAATGTTTATGAAATTGCTCACGGTGTTGCTCACAGTAAGTCCAAAATTTTAGGGGAGCTAAGTTGTTATATCAAGTATCATTATTATGGCAAACACAATGCTGTCTTTGCTGGAAATCTGGAAATAAAGTGAAGTATATACTCAGCAGATCTGGCAGCATGTACGTAGAGAGAGAGACGGTGTTAATATTTCAGTTCAGAAGTCATTTCTGATGAAAAGTCGACCTGAAATGTTAACTGTGTGTCTTTTTCCACACTTGCCACCAAGTTAGCACTCCATTATTATGCTTTCTGATATTTTCAGTATCAGTACCGGCTCTGGGATCCACAGGTTGGTGTGTGTTGGAGAATGGGTCATGAAGTAAGGGAACTTCAAAGTCCCTGTCCTCGACATTATTTTGTGATGCAATGCAATTGAAGGATATTAAACTTGCATAAACTTTAATCCATGTTTGTTCCTTTAACCTTGATTTGCAGATTGTTAAATTAATCAAATCTTCAAAAGAACATCCCATAACCTTGGCAATTGGTGATGGGGCGAATGATGTCAGTATGATTCTGGAAGCCCATGTTGGAATCGGTAAAATTAACTATTCATTTTTAAAACATATTTTGATCTTTATATTTTGGTTTGTGGTTAATACCTGGTAGGACCTCTGTGTCACAGTATTCAGCGGAGGTAGAAATTAGGAACCATTTAATCTATAGGAGTTTGATCTTAGGCTGAAATATGATCCTCATCTGTAAGTCTCTGTGATTTAGTTAATATCTTGTCTCATTACCCACTATTGCTCAGAATCTACTTCAGCCATTCAACTTCCAAATGCAAATAGAAATTGTAACCACATTGAGTACATCAGAAGTGGTGCAGAAACAGAGGGAGGCCATTAGCCTTCACTTGATAATTTTGCAGACTCCTATATCCATAGTGAAAATCTGAAGTTACAGAACTTGAACCAGAAGGAGCACCACTCTCATTCAACAATCAGAAAATGTTCCCGATATTGTACCTCCCAAATGCCTCCTGGAAGTCCTTGTAGTCACCATGTTTTAGATCTCATTAAAAAACCTTCAACCAGATAACTTAGACATGGACTGGCTCTTTTGCCACTTCATGCTTATTCCATATTCAATCACTTTGGCCCAGAATTAGTTTCCAGGGAGGGGACCTTCAGTTGGGAAACTTCCTAACTGGCAGAAAGTCACCCAAAATGTCCCAATCTTCACTGCAGGATGTAGGTGTGCAATGGAGTTCAGCTTACTAACCCCAGACCCAGAGTATTTGCAGCCTCAAGGATGGGTGACTGCTAAGGCTGGCTATTAGAAAGGTTGCCTTAGTCTTATGAGACTTTTTCCCAATTGCATTACAGGTTGTAAGGCCCTCTAGACCTCAACTCACTTATATTGCTTCATTTACTCCCCATGCCACATACGTATCAATGCATTCCATACCGATCCATTCTATTCACCCAATTTATTTTACATATAGCACCAGTGAATGATATAGTAACAATGGCACGTGTGGAACTGCTCAGAAAATTCATCCATCTGCAAATCCTTTCCTTGATAAAAGAGATAGTGGCCTAACAATTCATTGTAACCATTTAATTGTGTCAGTCAAGGAAAGTCAACAATTTTCTTCAGCTGTCAAAACAGACTCCCCTGTTGAGAAAATCTTTTAAAAACACAAGAACCATATGATTTAGGGGCAGAAATAGGCTGTTTAACCCATCAAGTCGTTCAATGAGATCATTATTGATCTTATAATGCTCAAATCCAATTTCTTGCCCTATCCCCTCAACCTTTGATTCCCTTACTGATTAAAAATGTGTATCTCAGCACTGAATCTACTTAACAACCTAGCATTGATAGCCCTCTGTGGTAACGAATTCCACAGATTTACTACCCTCTGAAGAGATTCATTGTCACTTCTGCCTTAAATGCATACCCATATATTCTGAGATTATACCCATTGGGTTGTAGATTTCCCCACAAGGATAAAAAATCTCTCTGCATCTACTGTATTTAGCCCCAGCAATCTGTGATTTTGTGCTGGAACATGAGTTGAGCCATCTGACACATTTTGAAAAGGGCTTCCACGGAATTAACAGTGCATGGAAAAATTTCAATATTCTCTTGAACATAACTGAGGTGTACGCAAATGATATATACCATGCTGAGCAATATTGGAAGACAAATTACTTACCTGCTGGCTTTTCCTGAGAAGCTTTTACATTTGAATCCTGAAGCAACAAGTTTCCTCAACTTGTTGCCGGAATATTCTTCACATTTTACATTGCTATGCTGCCTAACTGTGTGTAACTGAGCTGAGCCCTGTGAATTCAAGCAAGGCCAGTGTCAATAACTCATGGACAGGCAAGTGTTCTGATCCTAATCCTAACCAGTTATACCTACCTAAATTCTGTACTGTCAAATAGACCTAAGGGACAGTGAGAAGGATATTTTGAGGGAAACAGATGAAGATACAATGTATATATTTCTAAATCCACTTCTGTTGTTGTGGCTATTTTCATTCTTTGAGTGCTTGACGACCTGAGGTTTTGTTTCTCAAGGTATTTTGGGGAAGGAAGGCCGTCAAGCTGCTCGAAACAGTGATTATTGTATTCCCAAGTTTAAACATCTGAAGAAGTTGCTGCTTGTCCATGGTCACTATTATTACATAAGGATCGCCCAACTTGTCCAATATTTCTTCTATAAGGTGAGTTCAAATTTTATTTTCTTGTTAAGGATAGCAATTTAGCTTTTTAGTCTCTGATTAAGGTATTTATAATTTATAATTGCTGATTGAAGTACCATCAGATCTGTCCTGTACTAAACACAAGTAAAGGCTTTGCGTGGTATTACAGCTTCAAACATGGAGCTCAGTAGGATAACTCAAAGTTAGATATGTTGTTACTGAGTAACTAGAAAAGTACCTGCGGCCTCCAATCATATTAGACTTTTCTCAGATGGCTAGGGGTGATGGACTGCTATCAGAAATATGGATTTGTGCCTCAGACAATGCAAGAAAGATCATTCATGCCTTCAGAAAGTGGGGGAAAGGTATTTATAATCATACAGTTGGTATCATATGTACTGACAATTATTCTGCCTCAGTTGCTTTTAGAGTATTTTAAAATGAGACAAAAATTGGCACATTTGAGGTTCAAAAGAGGGGTATATGTGTGGTGTGTATTGATCATTAAAATATGATGGAAAGATACATAACATAGGCAATAATAGACTAATGTAATTATGGTCTTTGTATTTAGAGAACTGGAATACAAGGGCAGTAGAAGTCAGGATTTAAAAATCCAAGGGAGACCATACTTTGAGTATGATCATCAATACTGAACACCACAGCTTAGGAAGGATACATTGACCTTAGATGGAGTGCAGCATAAAAATGAAATGTGCGCTTCTACTAACTCAAAGGGTAGAAGAGATTTGGAACTCTCTTCCACAAACAGCAATTGTTAATAAATTAATTACAAACCATAAATCTGAATGACAGATTTTAGTTATCAGAAAATATTGAGTGATATGGGAATTTACCTTATTAAATTGAATACACTCCAGGGTATGACCAACCCCTGTTGCTGTATTCCTAAGTTACAAATTTGCCTCATTCATTACCTAACACCAGCTCGTATGGCATGTGTCATGTCTGATTTCTGCACCATTTTACCGCAAGCTATTCCTGGAACACTCACCAATAAATGAATGCTGGTGAATTCTGGTGTATCCTTTGCACCCGCACCATCTTTAAACATCCATTGTGCTCTCAGTCTGGAGCTGTTCTGCACGGTGCTGACATTTGCCTCAGACATTGCAGACATTGAGAAATTGGTCCCCCAGGGTGGGGTCCTAGATGTCCTGCTGGATGGGTGGTGTACAAATGGGACTTCTTTTCCCCAGGACCAGCAGTGGAAACCATGACATCAGACCACAGAATTCCTAGCACAGTAAGATGAAAGGAAACGTCCTTCTCCACTACATCAATGTAAGTGCCACCATCTCCTCTTTGCTATCTGACGCTTACTCTATATCTGCTACTGTACCTACCTCCAATCAAGACTCCTGCTACACCACCCTTACTATTGCCTTTAACATCTTCCGTACTTGCCATCACCCACTCCTTGCACTGACATAATTGACCATGCATGGCCTCTGCAGTGCTTACTCACATACTTGAGACACTCCCCGACCTTCACAAACAGTAATATCACAAACAATAATAGCTATCCACACTGGCCTCTATCTCTCATTTGAGGAGCCCACAATAGGCCAGGTGGTGTGTTGCCCATTATTTGGCTCCTCATCACGTAAAAGGAGAGGAATCTGACTTTAACTGCCTTAAGTCGGGCCTGACTGGTATTGGAAGATGCCGTTGATTTACTGTGCCAGGAATCCCTGAATAAACGCTAACCCCTTGACTTGACTGAGTACGGTTTACAACAATGACAAGCTTCCTGTCCTTGGCTTAGTAGTAAATTAGAAAGCAAGACGGTAGTTATATGAGCTTCATATCGCTGGCTGAGGGGTAAAGTGCAAAAAGACAAGATAAAGCAATGCTAAGGAGGCAAGCTATGAGTATCCACATCAGGTCAAAGCGAGTGAGCGCAGTGACAGTCAGTAAAGAACCCAGAATGCAGCAGGGTCCTATCCATAAGCTGGTTGCATGTCTCTGAGCACACGGTCTCCTTGCTGCAGTGTTAAATTGATAGTTGCTAGGGCAGAATTGACATGCAAAAGCATTCTGTAAGTGGATTGGAGATGTGCCATGACCGGTATTAGAGCCCTGTGTCGAATGCTGATATCTGTGGACATGGAGTATGTGTGGTTGGTGGCCATGAAGCTTTACCTGCGATGGTGGCGCCCGGTTTCCAACACAGAGGTTGTTCAGAGCAGGCAGTCATCTGAATCTACCAGGTTCTCGTCCTGGTTTCCTTGTCAAGTTTTCCTGAAGTCCAGCTTGTTTGGTAAGGTGGGAGGCTGAATATTAATGAGATGATGTTGATAAGGCGTTTAAAAGCATTAATTCCCGTCAACTGGCATCTCACAAATGCTTAGCAAGAATCTTACTATGCTGATAGTAAAAAGCGTAAAAGATGGTGCAAGTTGCTAGTGATATCAAGTTGGGCCTCACAGCACTTGTTGCCTAATTCCGGCACTGAGCTCACCTTAGCCCACGTTGCTCAAGCCCCTATAAGATTCCACCCATAGAGTACAAAAGTAAGCAAGTTTGGTTGAAGCTGTATTGAATGTCTATGTTTGGGCCTCAAGAGGAACAGTGAATTCAGGTATGGACGTCAAGCTTTGGGAAAGATGTGAAGGCATTAGAAAAGAAAAATGCAGAAGAGATCCACGAGAATATTTCCAGAGCTAAGAAACACCAGATTGGAGAAGTTGGGACTGTTTATAGAGAAGAGGAGATTTGATAGAAATATTGAATAACATGAGGAGTCAAGACAGAGAATGTACGGGAGAAACTGTTCCCATTTTCAGAAGGATCAAGATCAAGAGGGAAAAAAGTTCAAGGTAGCAGGTAAAAATTGCAATGGTAACATGACAAAAAGTGTTTCCATACAGTGAAAGTTTAGGGTCAGCAATGCAGTGCCCAAGAATATGGTGAAGGTAAGTTCAATCCAAGCATTCAAGAGGGGGTATCAGGTTATCTGAAAAAGAAGAATACACAACGCTGAGAGGGAGAAGATGGAGGGATGGCATTCGATGAATGGCTACCTTTTTGTTTTGTAAACATTCTGTGATTATATAATTGTGATGTTTTAATTGTTAATAACATTAATAATTCTGTTTTCCAGAACGTTTGCTTCATATTCCCTCAGTTTTTGTACCAGTTCTTTTGTGGATTTTCTCAACAGGTTAGTACTCTACCTCATAACAACTTTTTATTGCAGATCATTTGGTTTCTTGCAAAGTATAATGCTGTGAATTTAACGGATCATACTGGGAGGAACACGGTTGCAGTCTTCGTTGCTGAGGGGAAAGGAATTTAGGAATGAGCATAATTGTTTAGCTGACTTTATTTAAATTGTGTGAATTGCAGTTCCCGTTGTAAGATTTGTATCAAATTAGTAATAATTTACATCAAGGTGTTAAGGACAAGTTGTGTCTCTCAAAAATGGTATTATGGGTGGATATGTTGGGGTAATTGCTGAGTTAAAACTGGGCTCCATTCCAGTAGATGTGTGTGGTTTGCTTCGTGTAATTCTAATGTTGGTGTAAACTCAGATTGGTCTGTTAGGGTTTGAAAGTCTGGGTTAACATTGATACTTTAGAATGATGCAAAATAATGAAGAAATTTTTTTTCTTTACAGCCATTGTATGACACTGCATACCTTACATTGTACAACATCAGCTTCACCTCTCTTCCCATCCTGTTGTATAGCCTCATGGAACAACACATCAGCATTGATGCGCTGAGAAGAAACCCATCATTGTATAGGTAGGTGTGGGGCTTTGAGCATATGGTTCATGTTACAATTACAGTATTCTTTTAATGGATCACTGTGTATTAAATTCAGCAAGCCATACTGCTAAGGGGAAGCATGTTGAAAGTAGTCCTGCAAGTGCAGCTCTACCATCAGAGTGCACAATTTGCTAATTTATCTTTAGTGTGATGTATTGAATTCCCAAAGGAGGCATAGTGAGCTTGCAGAGCAGATGAGCTGATTTTCAAGTGAGGTAATCGATCAAAAATTGAAAGGTGGCTCACTGGTGAACTTCAAATATTGAATGAATTGTAGATTAGATAACAGGCTGATATGTTGCAGTGTAGGTTTCTTTTGGTGGAGAGTCCTCAACTTGAGCATCATAGAGTCATAGAATCCCTACAGTGCAAAAAGAAGCCTTTCAGTCTGTCGAGTCTGCACTGACCCACTGAAGAGCATCCCAGCAAGACCCATCACCCCACAGCCTATCCCCGTAACCCTGCATTACCATGGCTAATCCACCAACCTGCATGTTCCTGGACACTATGGGGCAATTTAACATGGCCATCCCACCTAATCCATACATCTTTGGACTGTAGGAGGAAACGGGAGAACTTGCAAACTCCACACCGACAGTCACCAAAGGCTGCAGTTGATCCCTGGTCCCTGGCACTGTGAGACAGCAGTGCCGACCACTGAGTCACCATGCTATCCCTGCAGATCATCTGCAGGTCTCCTCATAAATTATAGGATCATTACAGTACAGAAGATGACCTTTAGCCCATTGAGTCTATACCACCAAAGCTGCACTAGTCCTACACTCCAGCACTTGGCCCATAGCTTTGAAAGTTATGACTATTCAAGTGTTCATAAATCTAAAGAATTACGTTCAGCTCTTCAGGTGCAAATGCCCAATCTCTGCCCTCTCATATTTCCCAGCATAAACACGCTATATACGTTCTCTGCTTGCTTTAGTAAAGCAACACCAGAAAAGGTGACAATATCAGCAAGAGGGGCAGAAGTGAACATTCAAAACAAAACTTTATTTTAGAACGCTGAGACAGCAAAATCAGCAGACTCCACTATTGTGTAGTCCCAGAATCCCAAAAGAGGTTAGAGAGGAGGAATTGAAGGCACTGGACATAATTTTGCATAACTCTTTGGAAAGAGGTGATGGTGTTGGCTGGGACACTTTGTGAAGTATGATTCCATGAGTATGACTATGTCAGATTGTTGCTTGACTTGTCTGTGGTACAGTTTGCCAATTCCAGCACAAGTCCCCAGTTGATAGTAAAAAGGACTTTCCAGAGTCAACACTGTGTTGTTGTTCCCATATATATGCTGCCATAATCTTATTTATTTTATCAAAATTTGTAGCTAAGTGCAAATTTAGAAAGCTCTTAAGAACTGACCTCATTGCTATGGGTTAGGAGTCACAGGTAGGCTGGACCAGGTGAGGATGACAGATTTTCTTGGTTAGTTTGGATGACCTAGAACAATGGCAGCCATGAATATTGCAGATATCTTTGAGTCCTCATTGATTGGATGCTTCTGACCAGTTTGCTTGACCACCAGGTGCTTTGTTCTTCGAGAGAGTGAGACAAAGCAAGGAAAGAGATCCTTTTCCCATTCATTGTGCAAATCTGTCTCACCTGCTCTGCCAAAGCCATTGCTTGGAATAGGTTTCATTCATGTAATCCCATTTCCGGGTCATTGTTTCCGCAGTGGATAATAGCAGACAAATGATTCATCTCCACTGTATGAAACCTGTCGTAGAGGTGTAAATTAAAGGATAGGAGATGCAAAATTCTTCAAACCAGACTGATTTCAATCTCTTTTGATACAATTGTTAATTCGAATTCTGATGATTTTATTTATTTCGCATTGGTTTATGAAGTTTAGCTCAATCTGCAGTCAGGTGAACACTTGCATTTTTAAGTCAGCGTCTTTCATTTTTAAAATTGTTTCAAACTATGAAAGTCGCACACATTCAAATAAGATGATGGATGTTGAAAGTTAGACCATATTTTGCAACTATCATGACAATTAAAATATTTTATTTTATGTTTCATCAATTGCAAAATTATACTTTTATAGCTTGAGCTTTGAGCACATAAACAGTAAAAGACTGTTTTCATTAGCTGGTGAGAGGGTAATAAGTGAGCACAGACTTGAGAATTATTATTGGACAAATGAAGGGGGAATTAGAAGAAATATTCTTCAAAAAGGAAATCATTTATCACAAGAGGCAAGCAATGGAGACCTCACTTATAGAGGGATTGGATAAGAATTTTAAAAGAATCCAGAGAGAAATGGAATTAGATAGACAGCTCCAAATGAAAAGTTAGCAACAGATGTAGGGTGAAAGGCTGAATGAAATTTAAATTTTTAGTGTATACCCACGACTTATGGTATAAGTTAGATCGAACCAGTATGAATGGATAGACTGTATACAGTGCTGCAGAAAACGCTTAAAGTTTCTTCTAACTTGGCTGTGATGCATTTGTATTGGCAAGAATAGACACCCTGAAAATAAATATGTAACTCAAATCTCTTTTAAAAATGACCCAGGCCAAGGTGGGAATTCTTCCAACTTCTCCCCTGCTGCATGCACCAGGTGAAATGTAATTGAGTCAAGGAATTGTGAAACAATGGTGCAATGAAGTATACTTTGCATTGTGTTTTGTTTTCAGGGCTGGAAATACTGTGGCAAGTTAGGCATGACCTAATGATGTGGAATTGATGTTTTCAAAAAGAAGTCTACTTTAATCAGACACTTACGTCACTAAATTAACGTTAGTGTTGTAGTATCCGCTATAATTGTCTAGGAGTTGTGGCAGTCAAGAGAACTGAAGAGAACTGAGGACTGGGAGCAGTTTGTGTACAAGTGAGGCACGGAGCTGTGAGATGAAATGCAGTGATGTAATAGTAAGAGGGGTGTGGAATTGATCATTTCGGGGAGATTTTTTATATAAAAACACATAAGGCCTATTGTCTTTACTGCTGCAGGAGTAAGGCCTCAATGTTGAGTCATTTAGGTCATGGCGCCAGTTTTAAAAATTGTGAAGATTTGAAACTGCATCGCAAATCGAGCTCCGTTTCTAATATTGACTCTGCCTCAGAGTTCACGACCCCGAAATTTCAGCTGGGTCATGGCCTCCCCTTTCGGAAGTCCTGAACTAGGTTTTAAGTTAAAATCTTGCCAAGACAAGTTGTAGAACTGAATTCAGTTCATTTTGGGGCTAGTACTTGAAGAACAATGATCATGAAAGCAGAGCAGTTTTTACTAATAGCCACCTGGTTAATAAATGCCTGTTAGAGATGGGGCTTTCCCTTAACTTACACTGGTCTGGGCTGAACTTGAGACAAGACCCACATGTCAATGATTTTTAATATCTTTAGAAAATTACGCAGTTGTTCAAAACAATAATAGAGGCCTTGGCAGTTTTACTTATGAACCAAGAACAAATTAAAATACTGCAGAATGAAAGGTGTCGCTGAAATCAAAAGTACAAAGTTGTCACGTAAAGGTACAGTTCAATTGAACTTCCTGAGCAAACAAATGCAATTTTAATACTTTTCTTCTCAACTACCAGGGATGTTGCCAAAAATTCCTTATTGTGTTGGAAATCATTCATTTACTGGACTTTCCTGGGAGTATTTGATGCTGTGGTGTTTTTCTTTGGTGCTTACTTTATATTTGATAATTCGACCATGACCAGCAATGGGCAGGTTAGTACACCTCCTCAAATATGTAGGTACAAGTTGATCTAGCTCTAAGAGTCTACCACTCCCTTTATTTGCCAATTTTATTATTATAGCAATCTATTGCTAATATTATAATAGGTTATTTAATGACACATTCAATTTTACAATTTACACGTTTGTGTCGACATTAAGATGGTTTTATACTTGCCCAAGGAGTATATAATTTACTCTGACCATTACCTGCTCTCTTTTTTGCTCTGTTAGTCACTCAGTAATATTTCTGTTTTGGCTTTAATGCCCTGTTAATTTACTTAAACAATTCTGTGCTTTTTTTTTTTGCCTTGTTTGTTTACTTTCTGTCTTGTATTTTTTTGCTTTTGCTTTTTGCTTCTCTTTCTAACACCAGCTAATGAGGGCCAACTTGAATATGGTAAGATCTTTCTTTCACCTTGTCTTTATCTCATTTTTGGACAAAATACATCGGATACTTTCTGACTGATGTGATTACTTCTTAGTAAACTCTGTTTCTCAAAGGTGTTAGTGGGTTGGGTAGTGGTTGTAATCTTAACTTTTTCACATAAATATTTAATTTTCTCCCCTAATAATGCTGCACATTTGTTAAGTAGATTGTCCAATCTGATGCAAAGGTATTCTTCGGCTACTTGTCAGAGACATAGCAAGAGAAGCTTTGGATAATAGAAATGAACAAGAAAAGGTTTGAGTTAATCTCTTGGTGGGGTGAGATTAAAGCCCTTAGTATGTGATTACAATCCAGAGTCCGAAACAATAGAAAAACTACATGAAACATTGACCATCTTACTCCACACACCTTATAGACCGTAATTCAGGACATTCCTCTGTAATGATTTTGGTCTAAACACTTCACTCAAGTTATGTAGTGAACTGAGCTCCAGATGCTGTTCATGGTAAATAACATGGGCTATGTTTCAAACCAAATTATCTTTCTATAGTGAGAGATGGTCAGTATTCACCCATTTTCCCCCGATTTCCACCCACCGCCAACGGGAAAATGTAAAGCTTTATTCCTGCTCCATTTCTGCCTGACTGTTTAGCAAACCCCGTGATTTTAGGTAGCCAAGGCATCACCGTACCCAGTTACAATCCTCCTTAGTAAGGCAGTAATATGCACCAATGGTCATACTAGGACCCTTTTTTGGCAATAGCTGACTGAAAAAACACAGCGTGGGGGTGGTGTTGGCTACATGAATACCGTACAAATAATGTATTATGCCCTTGCGGGTTTAGCCTCCCACCCGTGAGGCATCGTTGAACTTTTTCCCACCGTTTCCAAATCCAGCCAAAACGTATGGCCTCCAAAACAATCTGACTTTCGTCTAGCTGCAGCTGAGTACCTACAGCTGAACATCTATCATGGGCAGACAGCCTGCTAACCAGCTCTGTCACCCGTCTCAATGGGTAGCCAGGTAACCAGGTCCATCCATCCATCTCAGCCGGGCAGCCAGGTAATCCCTGTGTCCACCTGTCTGAGATGGGCAACCAGGCAACACAAGGAAGCTTGAAAGTATCATGAACCATGAGGAGCATACCATAGAACTGCAAAAACACATAGGTAGGCTTGCGGATGGGCAAAGTAGCAGATGAAATTTAATGCGGAGAAGTGCGAAGTCATATGTTTTGATAGGAAGAATACAAAGATAGACAATATAAAAGGTATCATTCTGAACAGGGTTCAGGAGCAGAGGAAACTGGGTATATATTTGTATAAATCATTGTAAGTGGCAGAACAGATTGAAAACTCAGTTAAAAGAATATTTGGATCCCTAGGCTTTATCAAAAGAGACACAGAGTACAAGAGTGAGGAAGTTATGATAACTTTGTATAAACCATTAATCCACCAAATATATCCAGTTCTCGGAGCCAAACTTTAGGAGCGATGCAAAGACTTTGGGCAGAATGCTGAAAAGATTCACAAAAATGGTTCCAGAGATAAGGAATTTCAGTTACATAGATAATTTGAGAAATTGGGACTGTTTTCTTTGGATGGTAGATTTAATAGACCTTTTCAAAATCATGAGGATTCTAGACAGAGTAGGGAGGGAGAGAATCATTGGTGGAAGGATTGTGAACAAGAGGCCACACGTTTAAGCTAATTGGCAAAGGAAGCAATGGCATAAAGTGAATTTTCCCACAGAGGGTCACAACATCACAATGGGCTGAATAGCATCCTGTGCTGTAATCAATCCATGGCTTTATTAACTGCCCTTCCTTTGCCTGTCTCTGGTGGGCAACAATTTAGCCACCTCTAAACATCTGCATTATTTACCCACAAGATGTGAATAACACGAAAAAGTTAATATTCACCAGACCTTAAATTGATGATGTCAGACTAGTTTTATGGTAACCTCACTCCCTGCCCAATCAAAAACACTTCCCAAGTTTACAATCACCACCCACAACTTTTCAAATGCGTATTGACGTGTTAATGTAGAATTGTTGGCTTCGTAATGGAAGTGCATGGACTATTTTGAAACAGCCCATTAGTTTTTGGTGTGTATCAGGAGTGGGCATGCTGCAGTTCAATGTATAACTTTGCTGACTGCTGACTGATTTGTTCTAAATTTGTAAAACTTATTTTTTCAGATGTTTGGAAATTGGACATTTGGGACCTTAATTTTCACTGTTCTGGTATTTACAGTAACTCTTAAGGTATGTTTGTTTTTGAACGCTTGCTATGAGCCTGCAAACTAAAAAAAAAATTCATAAGAAATAGGAGCAGGAATAGGCTGTTTAGCTGCTTCACCATTCAGTAAAATAATGCCTGATCCAACTGTGGCTTATGAATTGTGGACTATGCCCCATGCCTACTTCCATAGTCTTATCATAGCTACTTTGCACAGCTCCTAGTCATTCCATTTTTTATCTTTTCTGTCTG